TCGGGAGAGGTTCGGGTGATTGTCCATTGCAATCATGGCTTTGGTTGGTTGTTCTTTTTCACTGTACGTCCGCAGACACATTCTGACAGCACTTCAGACAGCAGCTTTGTGCCCCGCCAGCTTCTTGTTCCATGCCTACCATGGTGTTTTAGTACAGTGTTTTAGTACAGACAGCACTTCAGACAGCAAGTAAGTATGCTGTAGTCGGCAATCATTCGTTTTGGTACAGAGTGGGACAAGTAGGGGGTGATGTTGCTGTAGTCGAACGGTGAGACGGACGTGTAGTTCAGTTTTGGGCACGCGTACGGTGCTGCAGGNTGTTGACCCTTGGGGTCCTTCCGGAAGGCTACCCCCCAGGCTGGTGGTGCGCACGTTCCACTATTTATTTCTTTATTTGTTTCTGATTCTTTTGTTTCCTTGTATTTTATCGCTCTGCTAACCCTTGGGGTCCATTTTATTTTGGTATACCTTTTCTACGTACGTTAGCCTGTGACCACGGAAATTGACCGAGTCAATAAGTATTGGATTAGTACGGAGAGATTAAGACAAAAGGTACTGGATAGAGAGACTGGGATGGTTTTTAATGTGAAGACAACAACAACAACAATTGAGAGAGAAGGAGATGTAGAGACGGTTGTTGTTGTTTCTCACATTAGCTCTGTGACTTGCTGGGAGCACCTGTTTACGTACGATCTAACTACAATGAAATTCCTCTGCCCATATTTATTGGCTCAAGAGGATTTGATGCACTGGAACGAGTGGCGTACATGAGATACTTGGGGTTAATCGCACTAATATCACGGTCAATTTACAGACAAGTCTACGTGTTTGTTGTTGTCGTTGTTTCTCACATTAGCTCTNATAAAAGGAGAACGGGGAACGCTTCCCACACCCGCCTACAACGCCGGAGGGTTCCGTGCCGGGTTCCCGCCGACCAGGCATCCCCCGCCCTGCACCACACCCCAGGGGGTGCAGCAAGACGGGGGGCGAAAAACAAACACATATACATTCCCACAAAAACAATGTGTGGTAGGCCCAAGAATAAGAATGCTCCAATTATAATACTTACACAACGAACGTTGGCTTTCCGTACTTTCTTGCCGGCAGCGTGTGTGTGACGGGCACGACAACATACTGAGTACAGTACGTAGTAGTGCACGTGGCGCTCCATGTGCACACTGAAACTATGTCGTCTTGTCCCCGCGAAACAAGTAAAAAAATATTCAACGCACAGCAGGGCCAGGGCCGGTCGTCAGTAGCGACCGCACCACCTCAAAAGCTCTCCCAGAACCCATTGATGATGTAGACTACTACTGTAGACTACCTAAACTTTCTTCAAGATAGTCTCCGCCGAGAAGGGCTGCAACGTCCCTGCGCTTGCTGTGCCCGCCTCAGCACCTGCCTCCGGCTAGCAGAAATCAACTGCTATTGTCTATGTATCCTTCTGTGGAGAAATAACATGTAGGACTACTGCTGTAGCTGCCGCTGTAGCTCCACACCTTTTCCTCTCCACGTGACTTGACCAACGATGGTTGGTGATTTGTTTTTTTTGTTTTTGTTTGTTGACTTCACATTAAACCGTATGCCAGTTGCTAAATGCCAAAATCTAGC